GTGACCATAACCGGGAAGTTGAATGGGCAAATTCCAGCAGTGACTCCCAATGGAACGCGTATTGAGTATACATCCATATCGCGTGATACACTGCAAATAAAATTCAGAAAGAAAGGGAAGGCATAGAAGACGTTGGGATAAACCCACTTAGGAAGAGTCTCTCCCATCATGAGCGATGGCACTGAGCAAGCATGTTCAATAGTCTGAAAATTTACTTCCAAACAGGGCACTGACAATGTCAGGATATAAATATAGTGTGTCTCACACTACCTGAATACCTCTGGCAACGTCTCTTTCAGAATCAGGCAAGTTCTTTCCTTGTTCTTGTGTGATGTTTTCTGCAAGTTTCTTCTGATCACGCCTGACGAGTGCTTGAAGACGGAACAATGCCTGTTGGCGGGTTAGGGGAGAACTGAAGGAAGGAATGACGGACGTTAAAAGGACGACATTGTGTGAAAAATTGGACGGGTGGGAAACATACGTATTCTTCCAGGAGTTGTAGGCTCTCTTACAGGACTCAACAGCTGACTCCATCTCAGCATGCGTGCACTTGGGAACTTGACCAATGACTTCGTTCGTAGCCTTAATTGGGCAACCATTCAACTGTCGACTTTTCAAATTGTAATAAGGCTCGAACTAACTAAATTGCAAGTCTGTTGTAGGTATGATGTTGTCATAGTGAACAGGACACTCATTTGCGAGTTACAGAAATAAGGGATACGGTACTTCTCCCCGAATGCCCAAGGGAAGCGTCAGTGGTTCGCGGCGACTACCGTATCCTCCCATTGAGGACTCAAGCCGTTTCCCTTCATAGTAGGGCGCAATGACGAGCGATCGGGTGAGGCGAGCTCGACGCGATTTTCAGGGAGAAGTTCCGAAATCCCGAAAATAAGGAGAAAAAGGGTTACCAAAAAAACGAAAGTCAGTACCAAATATAATGGATGTCACGACATAGCCCTATACAATCATATGTGCAAGGAATTGATACAGGTGAATTGAACTCACAGGATTGGTGAGTTCAATCCATTCAGTGGTCTTCGACTCAACAGGACGTCCATCTATCCACATCTTCACCGTTTTGTCGGTAAGCGCAGCTCTACTCGTAGAAAGGAAGGCATACTGTTGTCCAATGGCGAAAGCCTGTAAAGAACTTGCAAATGGGAACATCATAATTGACTTCTGAGAACTAAATGAGTTCCTGTCTTTGGATCTTAACCCGGAGAGCATGCTTAATTATTTCCTTGAGTTGACGAACATGCCCACAGTTTTCAGAAGGATTGGTAACTTTTTCTCATGATAAGGAGCAGTACGGCCTGCACTCGAGGACTTATTCCTCACCTCCCTTACTTCATGATATGATAGGTAAGAATAGGAACAGGACGATACGGGGCACAGGACACCTATTTATAATATACGTCTATAAGCTTTTTTAAGAATATATGTACCCCCCACTATGTAGTCCCACCCACTTTAAGTTGTTCCTGGACCTACTGGGTGAACCTTTCTATGTATATCTTCCTATGTTTAATTGAACCACCTCTTCTTCGACAGAAGCTTTTGTTTCGAAGGTGTCTAGTTGGAACGGAGGATAGCCCTCAAGGTATCTTTTCTGTCTCCCTTCTTTTGTTTTTTGTTTTTATACCAGTTTGGCTTCCACGCTTTCGTGTGCGAAGGAAACCCTGTTCATGTGGAGCGGGGATAAATGATTCAAGATTTCCTGATATTGAGCCGACTTTTCCAGATGGTTCTTTGGATCTGAATGGATGAAGGCTTTCGACGTCGAACAGTTCCGCTTTTAGGCCTATATCCTCCGAAACGAGTCTGTTGCCAAGTAAACCGTCCCAGCAAGATGGAAAGCTTTGTTAACGCATACGCTTTTCGATGTAAGATTCAATCGTCGGGCCATGCCTGTGATAGTGTGTTCCACCTACCGCTACACCACCTATATCTTCTTAAACTAAGAGAAAAGGCCCTTGGGTAACAGCCTCAAATTTTGTGAAAGCATATCAAAAAAGGGCGAACTGACAAATGAACAGACGTGACAATCGACAGGTCATGCGGAAGAAGAGTTTGCTCCGTTTGTTTGAAGATATGCTCATGGCT